CCCGACTAAGGTCAGCCTTCAAAGGAACCTCTAAGGTGTTCGGATTTATTTGTAAAATTAAAAGTGTGCTTCAAATCTGACCGAGCCCTCACTGGTGCCTTCCCAGACTCCCACTAGAAAGCCTCCATGGTTTCGAATAGAAATTGAAAGAGTGAGGCTCCCTAAAGACATACTGAACACTTGCCTGCAAGTTGATCTTCTCTATGGGCGAAGTGGGTAGTTCGCGTTAGAGGGGACCACTCTCTAGGCCTGGACTGCGCCGCGGCGAAGGTGAGAGGGTTGTGACAGTTGAATGTTCTCCAATGTTTCCACCTGTAGGCAAAGCATGCCACAAACACGCAACACGCCGCATGCCCATCACTTTAGTAAACCATGCCCACGCAAGCTACTTACTGCGCCCTCTTTCTCGTTTGGCCGGGGCGCCATTGTTTTCCACGGTTAGACTTTGGCAGCGTCCTAACGTTCGCTACGGAATCTTGGTCGCACCAGGTCTTGCAGCGAGTTTGTTGGCAACATGTTCCGCTCACATCTAAATGGCGAGCGTTGTGTCTTTGCACAGCTACAGACCTATCCACCTAGCGCATAGCCCTTTTCGGTAGGCCTACAGTTTGAGGCAGACCAGCAGCTCGACCAGGACGTACGAGACTGTTACGAAGACTGTTAACTGTAGAAAACTGCAAACAGCACGGTATTCTGGCGAAAATGTGAAGCAAAGATTAAATAGAAATAGTAGGGCAAGGAGGAGGTGGTACAGTGGCGAGTGGGCCCTTTGCACGGGCCCGGAGACCAACTTGCCTTCATATGAAACCTTCTGGCCCAAGCTTTTCGTGCGAACGTTTTCCTCCAGCACCTCAGAGGATGAAGTTATGTGCAACACCAGAAATTCGTCTATAAGAGATGTATACAAGACCAGAATCCCTGAAGTTCGAAAAATCTCAGCAAATAGCAGCTCGAGTCAATAAGAGTTTTCGAAATCCATCGAATTCTTGGTCTGTCAAATCGAAACCTCTGCGCTTGCTGGCCTTCAACTCTTCATTGAGCCAATCGCCAGTTCATCTATTTCTTTCACAAGTATCGTTCAATATCGAATTTTTGATAAATTTCTGGCGTATCTTTAGCACAACACGGATCGCATCTCGAATAAACGTGCAAATTCCGGTTGGAATTTTGCAATATTTGGAGCTGTCCCTCACATTGGAAATGCATGAAAATGCAAACCATCAATTTTTGGCCTGACTTAGGCGACGGGATTGACGTCATGTTCCGTGGGTGGTATGCCGACTGCATAAACTCACCATTTCCGCTGCAGTGCAAAGTGCATTGGAACCATTCAAGAGCCCAGTAAGTGTGCAGTAGCTTGTTATACTGTGGCGCTGTTATGAATAATGTCCTAGAACGATGAGGAGAAGCCTTCAGCAGTGGTTTCTTGGGATGCGCCGCGCAATCCACATCCATTCAGAGTCGTGGCAACAATTAATGCGATTTGGCTACACAGTGGTCCGTGGGAGTTAGCCGACGTGCAAGGTAAGTCAGGGGCTGGGTCTGGCACGACTCCAAGCCGTTTTCAGTCAGGTTAGTGCTGAAGCGGGCAACCGACAACATTTGGTAGAAAACGGGCTGGCGCAGTGTCCAGGCCCGTGACACTCCCTAACTTCTGAAACGAGTATACATACTCATTTTGCTTTTCCATTCATTTTATCCTACTTGAATAATTCTGTTCCACTCGACCTAACTCAAGGAAATAGAAGATTGTTGGCCCGACTTGAGCTCAGCCGAAATTCCACCCCTGTGCGTGAGGAAGGGAGCTGCGCCACTTGCCAGTACACCCTTTTAACTAGTGAAATTCAAATTTGAAACAGCAGGTGCTGGACCGGCCAACAAAGAAGAAAAGAAAAAGAGACAACCCCTGAATAGGAACCCCATTTTGGCAGCACATGCTTTCGAACGAGAAAGTGTGTTCGGCAGTGCTTTTCTGAATGCTGGTTGTACCAAGACCCCCCTCTCAAGGGAGGGTCTTGGTACGACCGTCACCTAGGGGGGGTCGCTGATTTCCCATTTTCGCCCACTTTTTCCGGAATTTCCCGGAAACGTTTACCACTTGCTGCGATCAACGGAGGGGTATAAATCACATGAAACAAAGATCAACGAATAGGCGCAGCAAGCCGCGGAAAACATTTTTGCCAACGCGACAATTCCTCTTTAAAGAACACCACGACTACCCCCTCTCCGTAGAAGACGCAAATACGACCCCACCCTCCTTCCTCCACTGCGGCCCAAGTACGACCCCCCCCCCATGTGTTTCACATAACGATGCTGCTACCCTGTTAATAATCTCTTTCCGATATGTCGGGGTTACGCTCTAACCAGGAAAGGTCAACAGGTCAGCCTGGCCATTTGCAATGAGATGCACATCACTGTACTCATCTTTACACGCTGAACTCAGAACTGCCTTCAGAATTTGCAGAACGTTTCTCTGAGCGGAGTTATTGAGGTTATTCTTTACTTTTTCTTCTACGAGCGCGCGCTGGTACCGAAGCGTTGGCACCGGTAGCGCGACTCACAGCGCTCTTTGCACAAAATAGGTATCATATTCGTGTTCAGGGGGTCAAATAACCCCTGGGGACGTCACCTTAGCGAAATCTGAGCTTCTGACTCAAGCTTCGAAAAAATGGGTGTATGGATAGTCAATGGCTAACTGATGGCTAACATTATACTATGACTAGCATACTGATGATGACTGGTCTTCGAACTGAAATAACTCTTCAGTCATGTCTTTTTGCAAACAACAGTAGCTGGCTTACTTATTTGTGCCGTCTGCATCATTTTCTTGACTATCGGGAGGAAATCCCATTCCGAGACCAGTCATCGATGGTAGGTGAGCTCCAATCTGCTGTAATTACCATGGAATCAGCCACTTTTTCCAAAGTGAGGTCGAAAATATCATATTCGCTAAATAGCTTGTCCAGGGTAATTGGACCCGCTGAACATCAATATGTGATATTCATTACAAGACTCCTTGTGACACGTGTTACGAGGGGTACAAGCAGAAGCACTCTTTCAGGCCGCAATGGGTCTACACTTTCGAAGAAAAACTGATTGCAGGTTCCCTTATAGGGTAGTGCAGGCGAGCAGAGATGTTAGAAGCTTTTGTTTCTTGACAAATGCAAAAGAAGGAACCTTCCGCAGAACCGATCCTACGACGTCTCGCCTAAGAAACCCGCTCCCTATCCGTTGCGCTATGCTGCCACGTTTCGGAAGTGTTCCATACGTAGATGTAAAGACGCTTCAACGTTTCCTCGCGATAGCACGTGAAACGACCATGCGGGGATAAAACCCTTCATAACTCCGTTCAGAGAATCGTTCTGCAAATTTTGAAGACAGTTCTGTGTTCACCTTCCCAAGACGCGTACAATGGTGTGCAGCTCATTGGAAATGGCCGGGCTGACCTATTGACCTTTCCTGGTAAGCTAAAGTGCTAGTTGTTCGGATGATATGTCAGCATAGACTATTCCAGGGAACATTGAAGGCCATTCCCCTTTCACTGCGACCACAGCGCCGGACGTGACTCGGATTATCGCAGTCATGCTCGGTCGCGGTTCGTAATGTATTATCCTGACCGCAAATATTAGAACGTGTGTGATTTATACGCTGGGCAAGTGAAAATTCCCTACGTCAATGAAGAACGGAGCAATATAAAAAGGATTACTTATTTAGAGTCAATGATAGAAGACGCCACACACTCCACTTCCTTTGACAAGTCCAGTGCAATTTGAATGCTATCCCGACTGAACACCGCTGACTTCTGGGAACTATCTGACGTCCAACCAACAGCCAAGATTCGATCTCCTGACCGTGAGCATGGCAATCGTAATCACTTGCCATTTCTCAGTCTCCAGGGTACAGCATCGTTGTGTGGAACATATAGGAGGTCGTACTTTTCCGCTGGGGAGGTGGTCGGGCGCAGTGTGCGACGGAGGGGGCATTTTGCACTTTCGTTGCTTCACTAGTTCTGGTTTACAAGTCTCACTCTGAATAAAACCCGTGAAATCTTGAAGCTGGTGTAAGCTCGTCAGGCCCCATCAGGTAAAAACCTAGTCTCAACTCGAGACGAGGCTAGTCTAAATGTTGTCGACACCGACGAAAATGAAGATCGCTAAGGGCAAAAATCCCCCCCCCTCCCGTCGACAAAGAGGCGCCGAGGTTCTGTAATTAGGTTGCTGTTGGAGAAGGGAAGTCGTATGTGCCGTTATGAGAAGAGATTTCGCTGTGTTAGGAAAATAGTTTTACCGGTTGTAGACTTATCACAGTGATTCTTGACCTGTTTTATAGTTCACTAACGTACCCTATTCGCTACCGGTCCCCTCATGAACGGAAAATCAACTAAAATACTTGGGTGAAAGGGAAAACTGGAAAAATGGCTCGGGATAATTGGTAGGATATGCGTGGGGGAGGAGAATCGTACCGAGCGTCCTCATTTAGAATGGGGGGGGGGGGTGTTACCCTTGACTTCGTTTACCCTTGACAAGAGTCTACCGGTCTGAACAAGATGAGCTGTGTGAATTAGCAGGAACAACAAGTAAAAGAAACTAAGTAAACCAGATGAATGCCCTTCCCCCACCCCTCCCCGCCCCGCCCCCCCTGTCACAAGGTACGCGAAAGTATAATGTGTCACAAGGTCACAAGCACCATGGAGCCAACAAATTAGAGTACTGTTTTCTGTTCACAAATTTCTAATACCGCAATTTCATCGTTACATGGAAACCCTTTATCAGTGAAGGGGTGAAGGCACTGAGATTCATAACCAGTTAACAAAGTGTCTACAGATCGTACATAGAACTGATGACCATATAAATTAAATGAATCACAAGGCAGTGAAATTGCACATGAAAAATCACAAGAACACATTTTGTAGTAATTGCGGAGACTTAACAAATCTCACAAATTCAACAGAATCGGAATCCTCGTTGAAAACCGCTTTAGGATCGATGGCCGCTCGTCGTTTACGCCCTTCCACCACCCAACTGTACCCGACAACAAATGAAGCCGTTATCGTTGCCAGTGTACAAACATGCAGAATTGTCCGGACAGCTCTGAGGTGTTCCGGCCCGTGCGTAACTGAAAAATGTCATTTACATCACCTATGCAACATAGCAACCTTGTCAGTCAGAATTTTCTTATTGATGTGGTTTGCAGACCACAGCCGCGTGCGGTCGCGTGGCGGCTGATTCACTTTACTCCACATGGGGCTGTAGCGGTTGCGCCGTTGATGTCACCTCTTCTCTTTGACATGCAGGACTGCTCCACAGGGTGTGACGAGTCTAAGGAGCCGCATCGCAACCGCTCGCGTCTGCGACCTCTACGGCGCTCAAACCAGTGAAAACCCCATAAATCACTCACGGATTGCAGGTACGGTAGTTTCCAGCTAGCTCAACCGGAACAAGGTTAGCTGGCTGAGGTGGACATACATTAGGCAATCGAACATCTGATTCCAGACCGCAGCAAATATACCTGAAATCGGAAAGTTATTCAAGTTCTCATAAACCCTGATAAGTACCGTACCTCTCGAGAGTTGTACTGAATTGACAATGCCTGTTGGCTCCACATCCTTGAATGGCCATCGTTGAGTGGCGCAGATAGGTGAACTCCAGTACTTGTACTTGAGCACCTCCCTCTCCGGGTACAGGCACTAGTTGAGGTGGGCAGTCTGGATTCAGAAGGTATTGCTACTGCTTATGACAAAAACTCGCTTGAAAAACTGGTCAATATAAAAAAATTTGGGGATCGCGCACC